TATGCTGACTCTCTGTAAACCGCTTAGAGAGGGCTGAAAGCCCTATGAAGCGGTATATAAGTCTACTGCTATTGCTATTGCTATTGCTATGAGCACCTCTCCCCTTAGAGTTGGGAACGATTAGCACATATGTGCGAGGGGAACATTTACTGTTACCTAAAAACTAGCTGTTTCTATAACAACAAATCTATCTAATCGGTAAAGCCCCAAATCAAAGTTTCAGGAAAGGCAGGATTAATTTTCTTTTTAAAAAGTAATAACAGACACGATCTCACTCTTGTGCAACTCTTCATCTTCTTGGTGAAAACATTGCTGTCAGACTCAGCTAGCAAATGTCTTTCCTTGAACCTACTTCCCTATAAAGTGGTCGAAGTGGCTATATATATCTCCTTCTCTGAACTGGGCGTTTTGTGCAGAAAGGACCTAGTGCATCAGACGTGACTGTGTTGTTGATTGCCAAAACCATCTGGAGTTTGTGCCAGGCTGGAAAGGCTGGTTGAGCTGAAGGTAAAGAAGACCAACTCACCCTAAGGCCTGTTTATGTATTGGCAGATGCTGAGTCCCACCTACAAGCAACGCAACGAAGACTTCCGCAGGATCTTCAAAGGGCTGCCTGAAGCTGAGCGTCTTCTTGTAGGTGAGGCCACCAGAGGAGATGGGGGTTGGGAATGGCTTGTGCTTGGATCTAAATAACTGGGCGGGTGAACTGGGCACATAGGATCACTTACAGGAGCTAGAGACTGTATAAAGGTCAGAATAGGCTATAGTATTCTGTGTGACCTCAATGGAAGGCTAAGTTGGACTTTGAAGAAGCAGGAGAAAAAGGGTCTTGGCACTTTGGAGGAGGAGACTCCAACTTTGGCCTTGGAGAAGGCTCCTGAGAATACCACAGATAGCCAAGAAAACAAATGGGCCTTCAAACAAAGCAAACCCAATGTTCTTGCTTGAAGCACAAATGATCAGGCTTAAATTATTCTACTTTGGACACATTGTGTGAAGACCCAGATATCTGGAGAAGGTTCTCATGCTTGGAAAGAGGACAGTCATCAGCAAGGTGTGAGGACTCAGTTCGAGTGACAATGGCTGCATCTTTGGAAGACCTAGTTAGGAGCAGATCATCCAATTTTGACAAAATCTACCTATGGGTTCGCTAAGAGTTAACACCGACTTGATGATACAATTGGTCATCTCTCATTGGTGACTGCGTAAAGATGGTGGAAGAAATCCTTGGGAGAACAATTGAGAAGAGCCAAGGTAGTGCAGTGGTTACAGTGCAGTATTGCAGGCTACTTCAGCATAAGTCTAGGTGCTATTGCTATTGCAGTCTGACTCTGTCCACTGCTAGGAGTTCGATCCTGACCAGCTCAAGGTTGACTCAGACTTCCATCCTTCCGAGGTGGAGCCAGATTGTTGTGGGCAGGAGGCTGATTCTGTAAACCACTTAGAGAGGGCTGTAAAAACATGAAGCGGTGTATAAGTCTTAAGTGCTAAATGCTAACAACTTTGGAAAGTGCAGGAAATAATGAAACAGCAAGGGGGAAAAATCCAGTGCTTTTCCTGTTCTTTCTTTCAGTTTGGGGGCTGGGTAATTTCCAACCCTGGAATGCTTGCCACTTCAGAGGTTTATGATAGTCTTCAAATAACTCAACATTCCAGAGGGTAGAACTAAAAAAAAGCAAAGGGGAAGAATTGGGGTTATCATGTTTAGACATGTTTTGCATCCCTCGGGTTTTTAAAAAACACATGTGGTTTGTAATTGTTATTGTCACATATTCAGCCCCCTCTCTCTCCTTTTTTTTTGATTGCTGTCTATCTCTGGTTATCAGTTACAAAGTCCACTGTTGCAGTTGTGTAATGTGCAAAAAAAGCATAGCCGGTTTTAGCTTTGCCTACGATAGTGTTTTGGTGGCATAGGTTTCTTTGTGTCGGTTTAGTTGTAATTCAGAGGGTGGGACATAAAAATGGGTTCCCAACTAAGTTAACCATACTGTGTGAGCTTAGCCAATGTACAGGTAGACCCAGGAGTGGGCTTCAAAGTTTTTAGCAAGAGTTTCTCTGCCCGATTGCTGGGTAGGCGTGGCCATGGTGGGCGTGGCCTACTCGGCCTCCTGCATCATGGGGGGGGGGGGCAAAAACAGCCTCCCAGGTTCTGGAGGCCTGTTTCCTGCTTTCCCGAACTTCCAGTAGGCCTGTTTTTCGCCCTCCCCGAGCCTCCGAGCGGGCCCTGCATTTACCTGCATCCAAAACGGGCCGCATGGGGACTAATGGGAGGGGCGTGGCCAGCCAGGAATGGGATTTGGGGGTTCTCTGAACTGCACAGAATCTTAGCTAGAGGTTCTCCTCAAACCCTGCAAACCTCCCATGGCTAGGCCTGAACTTGCAATCAGTCAACCGTTCAAAGGTATGACGGAAAAAATACTTATGATCCAGATCTGAAGTTCCAATAGCTAACCCCCACCCCACATCCCGGGTCGCATAAGCAAAACTAATTTACATTTACGTCCATTTGCATGCGACCACAATTTACAACATCCCCCCACCCCTGCCCCAACCCTAGGAATTGACGTTTACTTCTCATTTCTGTCGAATTGGAAATTGGTGTTTACTTCTCGTTTCTGCCCATGGTGGACAATTGGTTCACTTAGGAATTGCAGCATTTGCAATTAAGGACCATGCAAAAGGGTGAAATAGTTTTGTGATGATCCTCTTAATGACTGGGCAGGACTTACAACCCTAATTTTGGGCTGAGTTGCGGTTATAAATTGTGGATTACCTGTACCTGAAATAAAAGTGTCGGGACTTGGGGGAGTATCTCTGGGCTTGGAGCCCCCTTAGTACCAGGCTGCGAGGAAAATCTCCCAATATTAACTTGTAGTTTCTGTTTCCCGCTTTCCGTGCCCCTCCCAAACATCTCCTGTCTCCTTAGATTACTCCTGTGCGTTGCAGCGTGACATCCTCCTTCAAGGACGGCTTTATCTATCGGAGAACTGGATCTGCTTCTACAGCAACATTTTTCGATGGGAGACCACGGTAAATGATGCATCCAGGACCCTTTTGATTGCTTTTAGCTCTTCCTCTCCTGGCCACTAACCTCTGTGTCACCTTCCATGATAGATCTCCATCCAGCTCAAGGAGGTGATATGCATCAAGAAGGAAAAAACCGCCAAGCTGATCCCCAACGCAATTCAGATTTGCACAGAGACCGAGAAGGTGAGATTGTTGCGTATCCCATAAGAATCCAAGCCTGGGGATAGATAATTATCATTTCCAAGATGCTGTGTTTTATAATCTGCCAGCAAAGGGCCCCAGTCTCTGATTTTCTTCAGATGTTGCAAAACTGGGCAAAAATTTGTTATCTGTTATTATTGATTATGATGAATGGTTGCAGGAACTGGGCATGGCTAGTCTAGTGAAGAGAAGGACCAGGGGAGACGTGATAGCAATGTGCCAATATTTGAGGGGCTGCCACAGAGAGTGGGGGATCAAGCAGTTTTCCAAGAAAAGGAATAATGGATGGAAACTGAACAAGGAGAGATTCAACCTGGAAATAAGGAGAAATTTTCTAAAAGAAATCAACCAAAGGAACAGAAGTTGTATTCGGAAGTTGTGGGAGCATCATCCCTGAAAGCTTTCAAGAAGAGACTGGACTGCTATCTGTCAGAAATGGTCAGAAATGCTTGGGCAGGGGGTTGGACTAGATGACCTACAAGGTCCCTTCCAACTCTGTTAATCTGTTAATCTGATTTGGTTCTCATGTTCTCTATAGGCATCTCTACCGCTAAAGCAATTTGAAGCTGCACAAATCTGCTTGCCATTTTTGTAGGGGGGGAAAAAACCTTGCCAAAGTGGAAAAAAATAAATGAAAATAATAATACCCAGAATAAAATTAAAGTAAACTTTAAAAGCAACATAAAAATAGAGTAGAATAGAATAAAAGCAGAAAATAACTTAGAAGTGGAAGAGGCTTATAGTTGGACTGAATGCCTGGAGTCATCTATGTGTGAATTGGCAGCCATATAAATGTCTTAAATAAACAAACAAACAAACAATAAACAAACAAATAAATGGGTAGTGATCCCCCCTCCTTGTTTTTTGAGTTGAGGGCCTTATTTTGCTTTTTTTAAAACTTCAATGAGGAAATGCTGTAAAACAGATGAGGATACTTCATACATGAGAACAGACAAGGCCAAGATTTTCCACTGTGGGGTTCAATTTGATTTAAATCTGTATTACTTCTCTTCTAGCATTAGTTTCATTATGTGTGTGTTTCCTGACTCAAACTGCGAGAATTTGCTTCCTGTATTATCATCAGAGGTGGTTCAGGGGGATGCGAATCTCAGAACTGGATGGCTGCAAAGGGCCCCAGCTAATTTTACAAGATGGCTTCTCCCTGGGATTTGCAGAAATCCGCAATTACGGATTTGGCAGAAATTTGCAATAGCCAGGAAATTCCAGTTGTGGAAACTTCCCACCTTTATTCTAGACCAGTGTTTCTCAACCTTGTCAATTTGAAGATGTGTGGACTTCATCTCCCAGAATCCCCCAGAATAGCCAATCTGAAGCTGTACATGAATGCTCAGTGCCACTGAGAAAATATAAGGGTGTCTGGGGGCTGATCAAAGAATACCAGCCTTTCTCTGTCCCAACTTCCTTTTCTCTTTTCTCCACTTGGAGAAAAAGGAGAAAACTGTGTGGACCTTCTACACAGTGTAAATATTTGACTAGATTTTACTGGTGAATCTGGGTTATCTTTCTTCCTGTGCAAGAAGAGAGCCTAACTCACTGATAACTCACTGTTGTTGGCTTGTTCCTCTCCTTTCTGCCTCTCTCTCTGTCTATGGATATTCTCAGTCATCCAGGCCATGGTTGTCCCAAAGATGCTTTTTCAAAGGGCAACTGGACTTTTCTTTTTCTTGAAGATGTTGTGCTTCTCATCCAAGAAGCTTCTTCAGAAGTGAAGGAACAAAACACCTTCTTCAAGGGAAAAAACCATAGTAAAGTCCAGGTGTCTTTTGAAGAAGCCCCTTTGGTTTCTCCCTGTCTCATTCTTGTCCTAGATTTCCTAGGTTCTTCCTTCTGGCATCTTCACTGAGCAAGGGTGAGGCCTTTATCTCAGAGGCATCTCCTCCTTATAGCCCTAACCAACGTCCTAGAAAAGAGAAAGCACATCGGGTACAAAGAATTCCAAAGAAAAATGGGTGTGTCCCTATCTCTAGAGTGCCTGTAGATAATCATTTTCAAAGTTCAAGGCCTTTATTGTCCCTGTACATCATGTATACAACGAAATTGGAGTTATTCACGTGGAACCATCCTCCCTTTGCACAGTTTAATGACCTGTGACCGCACACTTTACAGAAAACAACGTGCAGTCTTTGCAAATGCCCTGCAAGATATGCACATCCAGGAAGTCTTGAGATTACAATCTTCCACCAACAATTGTGGTTTAGACAGCTTGCAATCTTTAAGGTCGCTTAGACGCCGCCGATCTTTCCTTCTGGGGGTTGAAGTTTGCAGTTTGAAATGCCCGAGCCCATTTCACAGAAATCTATCATTGTTTCTGCCTGAGATCACTGTACTCTCTTCGATGTGTTATTCATGCAAGAATGCATTGAGCAAGCTGGGGCGGGAAGCCAAGAGTTCCCCGCAATCGAACTTACTTTGTGTGAGGGGGGGGGGGGAACAAGTCTTAACATTGTTCTCTCTGGTCCCCAGCATTTCTTCACATCTTTTGGTGCCCGTGACCGATGCTTCATGCTCATCTTTCGCCTTTGGCAGAATGCACTTCTGGATAAGGTAGGAGCAGACATGGGGAGAAGCCGCCTAGGAATTTTTGGGATAGTGGTAGATTAGATTTGATCTAATCTTGCTGCGCCCCAAGATCGTGTGATCACCCTTTTGAGACTTTCTGACAAGCAAAGTCAACGGGGAAGCCCGATTCACCGAACAGCCATGCTGCTAATTTAACAACCGTTGTGATTCGCTTAGCAACAGTGGCAAGAAAGGTCATAAAATGGGGCATAATTCACATAAGAAGTGTTTGACTTAGCAACAGGGATGTTGGACTCAATTGCAGTTGCAATAGCAATAGCAGTTAGACTTATATACCGCTTCATAGGGCTTTCAGCCCTCTCTAAGCGGTTTACAGAGTCAGCATATCGCCCACACAGTCTGGGTCCTCATTTCACCCACCTC